AACCCTCAGGAAGGTACCTGTCCAGAAGGAAAACATGGGGCTGCCTCCCTAGAGTAGGGAAGGAGGAGCTGCTGCAATGCCTCACTGTGCTCTGGAGCCATCAGCTAAGAGAGTAAAGCTGGGCTGTGAGAGCCACAGGAGCAAAGCACACCTCAGTCCTTGATTCCCTGCCTGTCCCTAACCCACTGTGACGAGGTGCAGCTCCAGTGCTGCACCCAGGCCACAGCCCAGTGGTGCAGGGGGATGACCACCAGCAAGTGCAATCCTTGGGCAGCAGCAGGCACCAGGCCAGCGTGGCTGTCACACACAGCTGTGGTGCTTGCAGTGCACAGCTGCTGCTCAGGGGCCAGACTCTGCCTTGGTCGGAACAGAAAGAGGCAGCAATTCCCCTGCCATGAGTCAGCAGGGGATTTGGGTCCCAGGGATGTAGGTCTGTCTGTCCAGAGCAGCAGCTGCAGCAGAAACCAGCAAAAGCTTCATTTAATCTGGTTACACTGTTGTAAAGGTCACAGATGGGTCAGAAATGCTGCTCCAAGAGCGTGAAATCTGGCGTGGACTTGTGCCTCTCCCTCCCTCTTCAGGTAATGTTATGGCATAAAATATTTTTATTTGTAGAGCTGAGATAGAGGAAAGGCAAACTCTGATGTATTTTCAAGGGAATGGTGGTGTTTATTGAACTTTCTGGCTCAGCCACTAGATGCCCCTGTTTTCTGATGACTGCTCCAGAGTGGGGCATCTGCCACAATGCAGCAGCCAGAGACAGAATTTGGGGCTCACCCCATAGAGAAATCCTGCCTGCTTCAGTCTCCTCTTCCCTAATGACCTTAGAGTTAGCTGAGTCTGTTGTTCTAGGTGTGGACTTTAGGAGAGACAGTGCTGGTCACTAAGGTGGGTGGTGTCGTCCATCTGCCTTTTCTTGCTCCTGTTTTGTGATGGCTCTGGAGGAGGTGACACAAAGCTCAGCCAACTGTACCTGCAGGCCTTGTTCCTGTGACCATGCACCTCACTGCAGTGCCCAAGCCCTGGAGCTGCCCTCTTGGACCCCACTGCCTCTTGGGGGTGAATCAATCCAAACCAGTCTCCTGGCAAAGCTGTTAATCCAGGCAAAAATATTCCCCAGATGAACCCTGAAGTGTTTCCTTGCGTACAGGTCCAGCAAGGAGACTGATTCAAATGGGAATGTGGCACTCGGTGAAGGCAAGGGAACTTTTGTGGCTGCTGAAATAGTTCTGCATCCAGAAGATTAATGCTAGCACCATGTGATTCCAGCCCCACAGGCACCCACAGTCACCATAGAAAGTCACATTTTCTCCATCTGAAGTGATCTCTCCCCCAAAATGAACTTGGCTTAAGTAAGGATTTACTTGAGAGTCTCTTAAGATAAGCAGATGTTCCTGCTTCAGTTATTTCTTGACCAGGCTTTATGGGGCCTGCAGAGTCCACTTACCAAAGTCCATACTAGGCCCTAAAGTAAGTGTGTGATAAATATTGCAGTCAGATACCCAACTCAGAACTCCTGTGGAACACAGCAGTGATTTATGATTTGGAGTAAAAAGTCCTTGTTTGTGTCTGGGCATTCACTCTCAGGAACACAGGAAATGTTAAGACATCTTGCTTGAGTTTTTTTTCTTAACAAGGTGAATAAAGAGATGGGAAACCTTTAGAAGAGAAAAGAGAGTGGGCTCTCAGGATGAGAACATTTATAAAGGGCTTCTGCTGTCTAATTCTTCCTGTTTCCAGGAGTAAGGGGCCTAATTAGCACTCCTGAGCGTGATGTGAGCTTAGATCTCTGAGTCATCTGGGTAGAAGTACTTTTTCAGTTGTCACTACTGGAGAAGCTGAGGAGATCCACGAAAGCAGCACTAGAAATTCCTAGTGACCTAGTATCACAAAAATTTCTTGTGTCTGAAATACCTTTGCAGACACTTAGAAACTAGTATTTACTCCATCCATCACCTATTAAAATGAAAAGTTCCTCCTGCTTCCCTTCAGGATTCTGGGTTAGGATGTAAAACTCATGACTCATGTAAAACTCATCCTGCTGGCAGTACCCATTTAGAGAGGTTTGATCCACTAGGTTTTGGCTATGAGACATAAAAGCCTGGTAACCAGCCTTAGGTTTACAGGAATGTATCAGGTTTACAGGAATGTAAACCAGGAAGGTTTACAGAGATGTATCCCACGGCATGTAGCACAGGCAGCCCTGGAGCTGGTGTTCCCCAAGACTGACACTCTGCAGGCCAAGCCACTTCTCTGGAAGCCACACCATCTGCCATTTTTTCATAAATTTAAAAAAACCCAAGGTCTCAAACATACAATAGCAAATGAAGCCTGGATTAACTGATATCTCTCTTCTCTCAGTGATTTCCTTGTGTTCTCCCTTGGGCCTGTGCTGCTCTGTAGGATTATGGCATTCCAGAGTCATTGGCATGATGATAACATGACTAAGAAATATGGAGACTCCCCTCTCCACATTAATCTGTGCCAAGAGAATACTGAAGGAAATAGATAAAGGAGTCACTAACGCTGAGTTACATTTTGCTTCTAAGAATTGCCTTCCAGAGGCTGTAGCCATTTTGCAACCTCTTTAATTTTCAGAGAAAATGCCTCCTGTGCCATAATTAAGAGTTTAATATGCCACAGGGTCCTGTTTATCATGATAACGTATTTTGCTAGAGAACAGACAGACTTTTTGTATGTAGGTCCTTTCAATATCTTTCAGCCAGTCCATTAGATGGGGCTGTGATACTGGAATTTTAATCACAGATATTCATTATTCAGTTATTATTCATTCATTTTAATAAGAAAGCTGCATATTACCTTTGTTCCACGGGCAGCAAGATATGGTGAGGGAATTCAAAGTGTGGAACAGTTTGGTTATCTTCAGTGTTGGCTAGCTACACCCACAAATTTGCAGGGAGAACATCAGGCCCACCTTTTTCTTCTCCTCTTACAGAAGGCAGGGGCATCCAAGGCAAAGACACCTGTAAATGTGGCAATCATCAGAAGATGTATGGGAAGCAGTCTTTTATCATGTGATGAGTAACAGCATGTTTCCAGCTGGAACATAGTTTGAGACCTCTATGCAGTTCTTCAGTAGGAAAAACAAAAAGATCTGTGTAATTTTTTTAATAATGGTGTGCAGAAGGCCCTAGAAATGGAACACAGCATCAGCATACCATCCCATTAAGACAGGACATCAGATGTTCTGGCAAAAAGTCAGATTGCTCTAGTGCCTACCTGATGCAGGAAGATTCAAAGGGCAAAAGTAACTTCTCTGCAAACTGCTTTGCCTCAAGCAAGAGGAAATGCTGTATGTTGAGCAGAGATTATCACATACAGTATGTATGTGTTAGCATATTTTAATATATAGTGACGGTTCCTTTGACAAAAACAGTACTTAAATCATGGAGTTGTTAAGGTTGGAAATGATCTTTAAGATCACCAAGTCCAACCACCAGCCCAGTGCCATCACCTTGGTCACTACTAACCAATGTCCTCAAGTGCTACATCCAGGCACTTGAAGCATCTCTTAAAAATTTCCAGGGATGGTGACTCCACCACTTCCCTGGGGTGCCTGTTCCTACGCTTGGCAACCCTTTCCAGGAAGAAACCTTTCCCAAACAGCTCATCTAAACCATGCCCCCATGTAACTTGAGGCCATTTCCTCTTGTCCTGTAACTTATTACCTGGGAGAAAGGGCCAACCCTTACCTTGCTACCACCTTTCAGGGAGTTGTTGAGAGCAATGAGGTTCCCTAGACCCTCCTTTTCTCCAGGCTACACACCCCCAGCACCCTCAGATTTGTGTTGCAGAGCCTTCCCCAGCTCCTCTGTGCATGGCTGTGCACAGGCAGCATTTGGCACCCCTGCACCAGCTGCCCCAGGATGCTGAACCCCACAGAAACAGGCTCTCCTCCTGCTCCTGCTTCAGGCCCATGTCCAAAGACACCATACAAGATCACAGAATCCTGGAGTGGTTGGGAAGGGAGGGACTTTAAAGTTCATGGGCAGGGACACGTTCCACCACACCAGGTTGCTCAAATCCCCATCCAACCTGTCCTTGAACACTCCCAGGGACGGGGCAGCCACAGCTGCTCTGGGCAGCCTGTGCCAGGGCCTCAGCAGCATGACAGTAAAAAGCTTCTTTCTAACATGTAATCTAAATCTCTTCTTTTAGTACAAAACTGCCTTGTCCTACACTATTCTGACCGTGTAAAAAGTCACTCTCTTTTGGTTTTTTCAAGATCTTTTCCAAGTACTGGAAGGCTTCAATGAGGATTCCCTGGATCCTTCTCTTCTCCAGAATGAACAGGGAGACTCACAGATGAAGTATTTTCTCAAATATATTATTTATTGCCATCTTTGTACCCAGTAAAACTCACAGGAGGAATGGACTCTCTCAAAAAGGGCATTTGCAGGAGCTGCTGGAAGGCAGCAACATTAAATACCGCTTGGCAGCAAGCACAGCTGTGGAGGGTGACCAATTATTCTTATTTCTTATTTCTCCAGTGCAGGAGCGAGGCCAGTGGGAGAGTGGTAGCCAGGGAATCAGAGAAACCAGAACCTACCACCTCATTTGGTCTTATACCAATAATCTCCAATCTGTGGTAGCTGAGCAGCCGCATTCCATGCCAAGGTGATGCATGGACGCCCAGAGATCCAGTGTTCATTCAAACACATAATTTGTTGTAAACTGCATCAACTAAAGCTCCCAGAAGGTCAAAGTATCATTAGGGCCTACCGCCTCAGGTCTTATACCAAATAATCTCCATTCTGTGGTAGCTGAGCAGCCGCATTCCATGCCAAGGTGACGCATGGACGCCCAGAGATCCAGCGTTCATTCAAACACATAATTTGTTGTAAACTGCATCAACTAAAGCTCCCAGAAGGTCAAAGTATCATTAGGATGATATTGGAAGTATTTTCCTATAAACCTAACGATTCTACTTTTCTACAGTACTACAATTCTATGATTCAGTGATTCTACAGTTGTCTCACTCAGAACCCAAAGTACAAGTGATATTGCCGGTCATCAAACTTCTTCAAAGTCTCAGCGTGAGCAGCTGGATCCTGTTCCAGGTGCTGGAAGAGGTTCCAGGGCTGTGCCCCTTGGAAGGCTGGGGGCAAGGAAATCTCTTGGGGCATGTCCTCGTTGTCAAAGAAGAAGTGCTTGAGGCATTTCTCCTCTAGGCAACAGTGCAGGTAGTGCATGGTGTCATCCACCCGCATCAGGAGATACTTGCTCTGCCATTCTGACAGAGGGATCAAGGTCAGGAGGTGCATGACCGCAGTTTTCACGGCATAGATAGAAAAGCCTGAGCCCTCCAGAAGGCGAGCACAGAGCCTCAGGCATTTGAGGTGGCAACTGCGGGGTGGGGCCTGCACGGCGACATGCCTGAAGAACTTTGCCTCTGCCACGGCATAGCTCTCCAGCCATGTCGTGCTTGGGGGGAGCTGGGCCTCTGGAGGCTGGCTGCTCAGGAAGATGTCCGAGTCACCTTGCTGCACACTAAAAACCGTCTCCACAAAGAGGCTTCTCCCAGAGGCTTTCACCAGCTTCATCTTGCAGGAGCGGCAGGAGGGCAGCACCTTCATGCTGTAGCCACGGGACTGAGGCACCGCCGACCAGGCTGAGATCACAAACATCTGGAACCAGAGGGCAATTTTCTCCCCATCGAGGTAAGAGCCAGTGCAAAGAGTGTGTAGAAGGCTGGCCACCTGATTTCTCTTCAGCTCCTCCTCAGAGTGGTGGAGGAAGCACAGCATGTTCTGGTCAGGCTGTGCCCCGGTGCAAGTGCACACCAGCTCCACGCGGATGCGCATGCTCGTTTGTGGCATCTCCCCCGTGGGGTCTGGTTCCAGGTGGAAGGCATGCCCACGGGGGGGCTTCAGGGGCACAAACATGCAGTAGACAACGTCCTCCTCCTTATGGGGACTCCATCCTTCACAGGCACTGCCCACCCCAATGACTGGTTCCAGCACCGGGAAGAAGCTGTCTGAAAAGAGACTGTGGGAGACTCGGAGAAGGTCACTCAGCAGCTCCTGCACCACCCGTCTCCTAGAAGCCAGCTTCGGCACTGACAGCTGGAAGCGTCTCGAAAAGATCCAGGTCATATTCATCTCAGGAGGATTTTCTTCCTCACTTTCTTCACTCTCTGAATCCCTTCTGTTGTCCACCTCAAGGACCTCTTTCCTGAGCCACCAGTAGAGTGCCAAGAGCACCATCAGGCCTCCAGCAAGGGACCAGAACAGGCATTTCTGCATGACACTCCAGAACATGGCTTCCCAGGACCCAACACTCTGCTCCATGGTCCTGTAGGCCAACTCCTGCAACATCTCAGTCCTCTGCTGGTCAAGGTCCTCATCCAGATACATATTGAAGTAATGGCGGATGCATTGCTCAAGCCAGAGGAGGAATAGTATGAGCATTATGACCTGCAAGAGAAGGGAGAGGAGTGCAGAAGTGCTGAGAGGGGAGAGAAGGAAGAAAAGAGAAATGAAGGGTGCTAGCAGTGAGGGAAGAAGGGATGAGAGACAGCAGGCAGGAAGGAGAGGGGGCTAGGCAGCTGGCAGGCAACAAAGCCTGTGCCCAGTCCCAGTGGTGGCACTGTACCCTTTGCAAGGTGTGCCTGGAAGGGGCTGGGCCCTGGATGCAGGGTCGGAAGCACTCTCTTGGGTGCCTGTGTTTGGGGTCCTGCCCTCATCCAGTACAGCATCTGGCTGTGTGTGCACACTTGATGTCATCCAGGCTGCCCTGGGGCAGTGCTGCTTCTTGCTCTCATTTATAACTGTCCCTCATTGTGACATCCCTTGTGATCCCCATCCTCATACCAGTGACATCACAGCTAGGCCAGCCCCGCCCTTCATGCTCACCTCTTGCTTCGACAAGAACCCCTTGTGTGAGGACACGAGGCTTGACTCCATTTTCATCAGAAGGCTGATTTATTATGTTATATATTATCTTAAAATACTACATTACAACTATACTAAAAGAACAGAGAGAAGAAGATCAGAAGGCTACCAAGACAAGAATAGAATAGGAATGAATAACAAAAATCCTGTGACTGCTCACAGCCTTGGCACAGGTGGCTGTGATTGGTCACTGATTGAAAACAATCCACAAGGACCAATGGAAGATGCACCTGTGGCATTCCACAGCAGCAGATAGTTATTGTTTACATTCCTTTCCTGAGGCTCTCAGCTCCTCAGGACAGGAAAAATCCTAGCAGAGGCTTTTTCACTAAAATATCATGGCTACACTCACCCCAGCTCAGACCCTCATGATGGCCCCAAGAAACCCACCAAACACAGACCCACTGCTCCTCTGGGCCCATTCCAACAGCTCCACATCTTTCTTGGGCTGAGGAGCCCAGGCCTGGATGCTGGGCTCCAGGTGGGGCCTCCTCAGGGCAGAAGCATCTCCCTCAACCTGCTGCCCAGGTTTCTTTGGAAGCAGCCCAGGATTTCACTGGCTTTCTGGGCTGTGAGTGCTCACTGTTAGCTCATGGCCAGTTTTTCATCCACAAAAACCCCCAAGTCCTTCTCTGCACCCCACACACAGGGATGTCACAAAGGCCCCAAAAGCATTCCCACATGGACAGAAATGAGTGCCAAGGGAACTGATCCCATCTCACCACAAGGGATCTCAAGGAAAAAAGCACCCAGGAATTGTATCATCCAATTTTATGTTTGCCAAGGGTTCAGAGGAGCTTTGTCCTGCTTTGTAAAGGGAGGCTCTGGGAGCCACTCCAGAGCAGTGGGTCTGCATTTGTTGGGTGTCGGGACTCAGGTTTCTTGGGGCCATTGTGAGGGTCTGTCATGGTTTGACCCTGGCACAGTGCCAGTGCCTCCATGAAAATAGACTTTTTCTAGTGGCTTTGGTGAGATGTGATCAGGAACAGAGCAAAGCAGGCTCCAACTTAGGAATAAAGGAAACAAACTTTATTAATTACAATATCTAAAAAGGAACAAACACAAAACTAAGAATGAAAACCCTCCAAATACATTCTCCTCCATTTTCTCCACAGAATGAAATAACACCAGATTCCCACCCTGTCACCATCTCTCACATAATCAACTTTCAGTCCATCATCACCCCTCAAATAATCAACCCTCAAATCCATCAGGGAGAGAGGAGTCCTCTCTTGCACCATAGGCTTCCCCGGGAAGCACAATTGAAACCTCCTGTGCTTCCGTGTCACCCATGGCCCCACCCAGAGAATATCAGCCCTCGTGACTTCTCCCCCCGCCTCCATATCCAGTGCTCTCACCACTGGACACGGGCCAGGACTGCTTTTAGGGTTCCCTGTTTAAAGATTCTCCACCCAGCTCCAGAAGCAGCAGTCTCTCAACTTCGGGACACCAATCCCCCCCAAATTTCACCCCCTGGGGCTGAGGGGCCTCATGAACAGAGATCTTCCTCCCTCTCTGAAGACAGGGCATTTCACACTCTTCTCACCCATCTCTGTTCTCACCACTGCTTCACCTCTCAACTTTGGGACACCAATCCCCCCCACATTTCTCCCCCTGGGGCCGAGGGGCCTCATGAACAGAGATCTTCCTCTCCATAGAGACAGAGGGCCTCCCACACCCTCCTCAGCTGTTTCTGTTCACGCCGCTGCTTCACTCTTGACTCCAAGGTATTACCTCCCCCTAAATACAGTCTCTGAGTCACAGGGAAAACCACGGGTCTGTCTATGGCCATACAAGAAAGAGTCCAGCCCAAGGCCACTCCATCATCTCTTCCCACCTAGGACTCTTCTCACCTCTTCTGACATCTCTCACATGCACCATCTTTCCTCACACTTGCCCATTTCGTCATGCTTCATCTTTCTCGCCTCATTCTGATTCAGGAAGGTTTCCATTATTCTAAAAAGGGGTTAAAATCTTCACCTCTGTCTGCCCAGAACTCCCACAGCTCCCGGGCACCTTCTCTCCCCACATCCCCCACTTCTGGCCGGCCGTGCTGCCAGTCCATGATATCGAATTTCAAGGCAGCACAGGCACTGGCTCTCTCTTTATCTCCTGGGGGGTAGGGGTGGGGGAACAGGGGCCCAATGCTTCTCAGGGCTCCTCCACCCTTCCATCTTGCAAGGCCTTCACCCCCTGCTCTGCCCGAGGCTCCGGCCTACCTCACCCGGCCGAATGGCTTCCCCACCCACACAGCCCCGGCTGGCCGGGGGAGATCTGAGCTCCTTTACAGACTGAAACTAAGAGAGAGTTCTCCTGGGAGTTCTTTCTTTTAACCCACTGTGTTCCACACAGTTAAAAGGTCCATACCTTCAGTGGCCAAACCAGCTGCCAATATTCAAATCCAAGTTGATTGGTTTGACCACAACCTCCCAAAAAACTCACTTCCTTCTTAACCTACGGGCATGAAGGGCAGGGCTGGGGTGGGCATGAAGGGCAGGGCTGGCCTGGCTGTGATGTCTCTGGTGTCAGTGACATCACGAGGGACATCACAATGAGGGGCCAGGTATAAATAAGAGCAGCACGCAGTGCTGTCCACAGGCCGGAGACTGCGGTGGATGGGAGACGCAGAGGTGCCAAACCTTTCTCTCTGTCCTCGTGAAGGCTGTTTCCGTCCTAATGTGGCTGGTCACGCTGGTGAAGACCATCGTCCAGAACGCGAAGAGGGTCAACGATGAGCTGGATGAGGACACGCGGCAGCGCATGCAGCGCCGTTCTGAGTTCCTCAACCAGCAGATGACTCGGATGCTGGAGGAGCTGGAGCACATGGCTACGGAGCAGACTGGTGGATCGTGGGGATCTATGCTCTGGGCTGCCTTGCTACAGTGGCAGTTCTGGGCCATTGCTGGAATCTTGGTGCTGCTTGCGGCGCTCTGCTGGCAGCTCAGGAAAAGAGGCTATGGGGTGCTGCCCAGCTGGCGACTGAGCACTTCAAAGCTTTTTGCCCCCACACCCCCTCCTCCCACACGCCGTACCCCCACCCCCAGACTCGTAAACCCCGTTACTTTACGACTAGAGTTGACAGTGAGGTTGAACTCTAAGTGTAGACTGGTAAGATTAGATAAGAATAGGTTAATAATTGAAAGTAGAAGGTAAATTAGAAGAATTTATAAGAATGAAGAATAAAAAAATAAAAAAACAAACTGTGCATAATTCAGTTGATCGCCACATGCTGACCAATGTCAGACCCTTTCCCAAACACCCATCAGCTCTCCTTCCAGGTAACTCTCCCATTTTATAAATTGGCCATCACCGTGTATGGGATATCCCTTTGGTCAGTTTGGGCCACCTTCCCAACTATGCTCCTCCCTCACAGCTTTTTGGGTTTGTGTTTTTTGTACCTCCTCACTGGCAGAGCATGAGGCACAAAAAAGTCCTTGATTTTGGATAAACATGACACTTGGCATCAACCAGAACATCAGTGTGTTACCAACATCATTGTCATACTGAATCCAAAACACAGCACTGCACCAGCTACTGGCAAGAAATTAAATGTATCCCAGCTGAAACCAGAACAATATCCACTCCTTAACCCACAGCATTTACATCATGGCAAGTCTCCCACTTCCCAATGCTTTATCACCTTCCCCATTTATCTGGCAGACATACAGACAGCCATCACACCCTTAGTCTGTGGAACACCTCTGTCAAATGTCCATACAATTGCCAGCAAAACCTTGACCATGCATGTGGGGACAACAGACTCTGGGCTGCTGAGGGGGCAAGCCCTGGGAACCTGCTTTTGGAGGTCCTGTGCTCCATGAGTGTTGGTCCCCTTCGAAGAGCCATCTCCTAAAATCAAGGGGGAAGGAAATGGCAAACAGGGCAGAAAGATGACTTGGCTGAGCAGGGATCTTCTTTTCTTGCAGTTCCCCTATCGTCTTTCCAGTCCTTCTTGTAGATGGGTGTACCATTTGCTAAATTCCAGTCACCTGGGACCTCCTGGGTTATCTGGGACTGCTGATAAATGATTGAAAGGGGTGCAGGGAGCACTTCTGCCAGCTCCTGCACTATTCTTTTCTGGATCCCATCTGACTGCATACACATATGTCTGCCTGAGCAGTGTAGCATGTTGCTGACTATTTCCCTGTCCCTGTCTTTCAGCTCAGGGGTCTGGGTACCCACAGAACAAATGGTCTTAGTATTAAAGACTGAGGCAAAAGACATCAAGAACCTCAACCTTTTCCTCATCTTTTGTCATTATGTCTCCCCATACATCCAGTGAATGATGAAGATTTTCCTTAGCTCTGCTTTTGTACTTGTAGAAACATCTTTTATTGCTCATGACTGTAGTAGCCACATTAAATTTCAGTTAGGCTTTTTATATTTCTGATGTTTTTCTAACTTCAATTCTAATTTTGACCCTGATAACCTCATGATATCACTGTAGTCTTCCTGAATTGCCT